TTACCCAAAGTATCCGGTGTGAACGAAACATATTTTGCAAGTATAACAATTTTAGGGGCTTTTCCATGAAGGGCACATGGAGGCAGTTGGGTCGAGAAGCGAATTAGTCAGGGTGCCTTATACACCCAAAATTCCGACTCGCACTATCGCTCAAAGATCCCAAGAGAGGACGAGTTTAGCGGCCCTTCAGGGATTGTTAGTATTCAGAATGGAGCGCGTTTGCTGGCAGTACGGTCAGCTGATATCCGCTAATAGCTAAGGCACTTATATAGCTAGTGAAGTTTCGTCCGAACATCCCCATCGTGCATGATCATAAACCATCCAGCTTTAGAACTTTGAGATTTACTTTGAAAAACGCTTCATATTTCGAGATTTTCGCTGATTTTTTTCATTTTTTTCTTCACCAATGAGCTATTCTGCATCAGCACTTTCGTCCTATAAGTCAGTAACAGCACATGGACGGAATCATTGCGAATTGAGTCTTNATAGCTAGTGAAGTTTCGTCCGAACATCCCCATCGTGCATGATCATAAACCATCCAACTTTAGAACTTTGGGATTTACTTTTAAAAACGCTTCATATTTCGAGATTTCCGCTGATTTTTTCATTTTTTTTCACCAATGAGCTATTCTGCATCAGCACTTTCGTCCTATAAGTCAGTAACAGCACATGGACGGAATCATTGCGAATTGAGTCTTTAAGTAACCGCAATCCAGACCGCTTACTATAACTAAATGTAGAATTGAATTATTGTGTAGCATACTGTCTGATTGCCGTTTATGATCGTTCCTGGTACGAATGGTATCGGATCCAAAATGCTACAATCCGAAAATCGTCCGCCACTTGAATATGGCGAATCATCGAAAAATGAGTCAAGATGTTTATCGCGATCGAACTCTAATGTAAGTATACTAGTTATAATACAAAAATATTTTTAAAAAATTGGCATAATTCCACAATATCGAAAAAACAAAAATTCGAAACATCAAAGATGGAAGTTCATTTTCTGTATCGATTTTCAGGCAAACTATATCCCACAGTCAACATCCTGGTTTAATATCCCAATCGGCGGGATCTGGGGGAAGCGGTTGTGAGTTGTTTTGTTTATTCAGATATTTTGTTTACGAACATGTTATGTTATGACATCATCCAGCAGCTTCTGCAAACAACTTGAACTTAGACGAAGATGGTGAAAACATTACGGTAGCACTGTCACAGACCGGTCTACAGACACCACTATGATGATCTGAATCGATTGATTGTAACGTTAGTACTCGCGTGGTATAATTTGTCTCAAAATACTAGTAACTTATCGATTTTTGTGTAATTTTTCCTAATTTTACTTATTTTGCATGTGCATTTTACTAAAGGCTTGTGGACATTACGTCCACCACCGGGAAGTCTCCTTCGAGATACTTCTGATTGATTTATTACTGCATGAAATTCGCTCTAATCAATACCGTAGAGAATGTGACCTTTTTGAGAATAATTCCAATTTTAACATGAATTTTTAATAATCTATTATCGATCAACTGTTCACAATATCGGATGGAAGTGTTTATAGATTTATCATTATCATCGTTGACTTCGTTGAAGACGTCAATTGTATAAATTTTTTCTGTGATATCTCNTTCGAATTGTGTCCGAGTTATCGGAAATTGAAGGCCGATTACTGTCTGTGACCATGAAGTATTAACAAAAGCTACAGTAGTAAATAAACCAGAATAGAAAATAGTTCGGTGAAGGCTTGTTGGCGCATAAGAAAGTGCCAAGAAAGGGAGGGAGAACTGCCCGTCGAAACGACCCCCCATCCTCCTTCGCAGTCCTATGCATCAAAAAGGAAAAAAGGGGTCCCAGTACGATTTCTTTTACAAAAATAGGCCCGAACTCTTTCACCTCTTCCGTGCATCCTTTTTCTTAGCCACCACAAACGACTACAATTTGGGGCTGAGAGAAGGAAGGAGGAAGAGGGAGTGGGAGAGGTGGTGAAGTCGCGTTCTCTCGCCTCCCCCTCTGTCCATCATGCTATATCGGGTTGGATCCTTCTCTTTGAGGGGTTCTCTGAGTAAGTTTGACTCTGCCTTGGAAGATACGTGGCAATTATCACTGATTATTGGTATAGTTAACAGTAATCACTAGGAAATGTAGGATTAATAGGAAAATGAGCGACCGATTCAAGTACGTTAAGAAATCGTTGTCGTTTACGTACTGAAAATCCGATCAATTGTGGTCGTCGAGGTTCCAGAACGATCACATTGCAGTACGATCCATTGCTATTCCTGAACAGGATATGGTCCATTTGATTTCGAAATGACTGGTAAGTTTAAGAAAATTATTTAAGTATTTGAGTATTTAGTATTATTTGAGTGTGAGTAGGCCTACTATAAGCTATTGTTAATGTATGCCGATAATAAATAAATAAGCAAAAAAGCAAGTTAGTAAAGTTGTAGTGTCTTCAAGTATGTAGCATCTTCAAGGGTAGTTTGACTTGCCTCTTTTTGTTGAGTGCCCACCAAATTTTTCCACAAGTCGAACCCCATTCTGTGGTGAATGGAAAGCGATCGCCTTCGGGTTGGACCCACATGGAAGATACATTCCGAAGGGGTATTCGCGCTGAACTTCCACAAGGAAAGTAATACGATTTCACGAATATGTCATTTGCAGTAACCTAAACAACGATAAATAAATTCTGTTGATAATGTCGAAGTGATAGAGGGCAGTAATCAGTCAAGTAGCACCTAGATTCTATAGACTGGCTTCCCAGATGTCTTGCACCGACCATACCTACTCTCTCAAATCGGTTCATTACTACAATACCATAGTTACAGGTATAGCTAGTTACAAAGCAGGCAGGTAAGGGGTGTTCCATCGGTACAAAAAAATGAGAACATGAAGATAAATAGAACTTTGTCTATTCACCATCTGGGTGGGCGAAATACTGCATGTTTTCATATTCCTGAACTGAAGTCGAATGTATGGCGTATTCAGGGGAGGGCCTGAGCCCAATGCCAGAATCCCCAGGAGAAATTCCCTTTACTTTCCCTGGGCTATATGGGATAGCCCAAATCATTCCAACTACCTACAGTCCAGGACGGGCCTCGGGGTATATTCACTTTATTTATTTTCCAAATTACTCATTTTCCTTATTTATTTTGTAGATGGACAGCATTTGGAATTCCAATGACATATATTATTTATCTACCTGGTCTACATATGGAAAGGTGCGGAGAAAGCGATAGAGCAGGTATGGTCTTATCCTCCCAGACGAGTCTGGCATCAGTGGACCCTAGCAGGGACATGAGAGACTTGAACGAGCAACGCCTACTTGGGCTTAGATCCCTGCATACTGGAAGAGGGACTACCTGCCGGTGGCTCACCCTCTAACTCGAGGTTTTCATGGTCTTGCCTCAGATCACAGGCATAAAATAATTGAAGTTTGAGTGATTCTGACAAAAAGGATCAGTAGATAGGCTCGATCACCTCTTTCAAAGCGTTCACTATTCTTCTAGTAGATTCGAAAGCTTTTTCCTTGAATTTCACATGACACTCACCTTACAAAATTTATCCTCATAGAGTATCTCATCGTTTTGATTATCATGATCGAATTCCGATGGAGATTCTTGAAGTCGTGGATCATCGGGACAGACACAAACTTTTGTCGGAAACCTCTTTTGATTAGGGAATGGTTGAATCTGAACTTATTGGATAAACGTGCATACCGAATAGTAATGTAACTACGTTCAATTATTAAACCAAACAAGCACCTGTTGATCCCATCCCATGCTGGAGAAGCCCTAGATGTAATGTCACACTATCATACGGTCAACGCCATCGTTTCTGAAATTTTCAAAGGTATTTAAAGTTTTGTCCAGGTCTAAGACAATAGAAGGAATGAAAACCGAAAAAATCGAGTATGGAGTAGTTCGGAAAAGTCCTGCGATTTTACGATGACCGTTAGACCAAGGTGGTTACTAACTGCATTTCTTGGGCCATCAAACGAGCACCAGGGTGGCCGCCAGCGCGACCACCAGACCTTTTAAACAAAGCTCCGAACGAAAGGAATGCTATGCCTCCTGCCCCTCGAGCGGGGACGTTCCACTGGACCACTCTGGCTCGCGACAGAGCTGAATGTAGACATTTTTAGAGTCGAGCTGAGGAAACTGATGATTCCAGGGAAATAAGTACAGTTCTATGGCCAAAAAGCTTTATAGGACTTGGTTGCGTCATCCCACAGCTAATTCAGACTACTTAGGCAATTAACCAATGAGTAACTACATAGTAATTACTTTATTATCTTCAGAGGTACTACAGCATAAACGGGATTACAATGGATCGCGACAAAGGTGAACATCTGCCATCCTACAAAGGAAAAATAGATGATTAAGGACTCGGAGATGGAGTGGGGGGGGGGGGGGGGGGGGGGGGGGGGNACACCATGACAATACAATAAATATACGGGGGAGCAGTTTCGTACCCACTATAAAGAAAAAAATGAAAGTAACTGATTGTCGACGCTTTAGTTGTGTCAAAAGTCCAGCACGTATTTTTTTCTCTGCATAAAATAGTACGAGTACGAAGCCATTGGTTCAATAGGAGATTTTGGTATTCGCTGCTGTCTGAGTCTCTCAGAAACCGTTTCGTTGCCATGGTAATCCACCTAGGTGAACCACACGGTGACTAACTCAGGTAATGTTTGAACCTGCTTTGATAAAGGGGTAGTGGATGTAATGATCAGCAAAGAGTAATCATATAAGAGAGAGAGGAACCTTTACTATGGACTCCCTACTAATTTAATGAGTTTTCAACTCTTAACAGGGTCCTGTGTGATCTTCACCATGGTTTGATCGACAAAATTAACTCCTTGCTATCAATCAATCACCCAGGTCACTTCTTTCATCCACCTCCACTTCGTTTCCTTTTGTCTCTGTTCGTAGGGCCATTTATTGATGTATATTATGCTGTATATTGGTTATATCTCTCTTTATAATAGTCGCTCGAAAACTATCAACCAGAAATTTCGTAAAAATCCAGTTTCTTCGAGATTTTTCTGGAATCTTCTATGATGTTCCCTGTAAAGACACTACCCATACGTATTCGGCTACACTGATTGATATTTACCCACACATTGACCAAAGTGCTTATCCTTATTCAACACGTGCTCCATTACGAGTTTGAATCTACCTTTTCCCACCCGGTGAAGTTTTTCTCATGCGTTCAGCCTTGGACCCCTCCCTGTTCGGCTGTGCACACCTCGTTCCACAGCCTGAAGGGAAATGGTCTAACAATAAGGTGAAGCTCGATCTGGTAAACCCAACCCGATATCATGATTTCTTCAAATATGTTATGCGTTACAAGTATGAAGCGTCGATTGGCAGTATTTCTAGGGAGCTTACCGAAAATTCCAAGTAATGGGAATTGGGAACTCTGGGCTAATGTGCACTTCACGATAAATACTTCCCTTACTACTTATCCAACTATTAATGATTCCTTTCATTGCAGAGAAATAGGTAGGCAAGCATGTCAGGAAGAGAGCACGTCTAAAATGGTGCAAGTATGCCAAATATTCCATTTCAGACGACGTAAGACTTTTAGTGTAAGTTGTTCCCACGATCCCATTCATAGGCTTGAGCTCAAAACGTCATCGACTACCTTCATTAATTATCGATATTCCGGCTCTTATTCAGGGTTTGGCAACACCAAACCATCGAGGGATACGGTTCGAAGTTTATTCGATTTCCCCGGAGTCCCTTGGGGTCAGTACATAGTAGGAGGTAAAATAGTGCCTACAAGCTGAGCAGTATCTATAGATTATGAAGAAGTGAAACTCTGTAATGATCCCAGCTGATATCGTCATAAATAACTCATTCACCTAAATGGTACAATGTGCCCCTTCTGAACATTTCAATACCTACCTTACCTGTCCACTTCCACTTGTTTACTGTTACCTAGCTGATTGACTAGTATTTTATTGCAGTGAAATGGAGGTTCGCTGGAATCCAAGGAAGTTGTACTACATAGCTAGTCAGAAAAGTCAGGCTCAGCAAAAATGGCAGTCCACCATAACCAACGTATTCCAAGCTGGTTCAAAGAAGCCAAAGAAGAAATCTACTGCGATAACCTTCAAGAGTGTAAACGAGCGGAGGAAGGAGCCCGAAGTGACCATGGACAGAAGCAGACAGGTCGGGGACTATCTTCGAAAATAATATTCGAAAATATTGCCTCATTGCTAGATACTTTGGTTTTCACCTGTAGGTGATTCCTGCAGACCAATGACATTTTTCGCGAATATTTTTTTTGAAAGACGTCGCTTTCCCATAGATATTCTGAAAATCAGAGGAAAATGGCTTCAAAGATGATATTTTATGAACATCATACAGCAGAAATTTTATTATACTTCATTTAATGCAAGTACATCTGGCACTCGATGCAACGCCTTCAAACCCGTACCGATCGAATTGATAGATATCGTAGCCATCCAAACCAAATGAACGGTGACTTCCTAAAATAGGAACTTTCCTTCCCCTATCATTGCTGACGAAAGTAAGAGGCAAAAAAGATCAGGGAGGATACATGAGGGCAATAGATTCTGACATTTTTCACATCCAGAGAGTCAGTACTTGTGCCACTGCCACTATGGATAGGTAGTCACTGAGGAAAATTCCGTAAATAAGAGCGTTTTAGTTTTTCAATTTCTACATCAGCCCTGGTCCCCAGCTCAGGGACTATTTCGTATGTATTACGTGCAGAAATTGGAAATTTTGACTGCTCCCGTCTATGGATTTTTCGAGCCGTCAAAAGGGGAAAAAGTTGATGGACCTACCTGTCTGATTTCTGAAGTCCCACAATTCTAGCAAACATCCCGAACGTACTATTGCTGCCACTGGAGCATCGTCCCACTGCAATTATTCTCTTTGATTATTGAGATTGATTTGAATTAGCTTTTTTTTCGATTTATAGAGAGGGATAATATGTTCGACAGGGGTAAGGAGTTACCCAGTCATTATGGTATTCCGTTCGATTAAGGCGAGCTGGCAAGCCTTTGACTTCACTGGCTCAACNACCGACCCCGGAGGGATGGAAGGCTTGGTTGGCCTAAGCGGGTATCGATCCGCGATTCGAACCCCTGACCGTGCGTGTGATATAGTGCGCCACTTACCACTACACCACCTCCGCCCTCCAAGATACCATGTAGAATCAAACCCATCATACATGAGGACAATAGATTCTGACATTTTTCACATCCAGAGAGTCAGTACTTGTGTCATTGCCACTATGGGTAGGTAGTCTTAGAGGAAAATTCCGTAAATGAGAGCGTTTTAGTTTTTCATTTCCATCATCAGCCCTGGTCCCCAGCTCAGGAACTATTTCCTATGTATTATGTGCAGAAATTGGAAATTTCAATTGCTCTCGTCTATGGTTTTTCTGAGCCGTCATAAAAGGGGAAAAAGTTGATGGCCCTACCTGTCTGATTTCTGAAGTCCCACAATTCCAGCAAACATCCCGAACGTACTATTGCTGCCACTGGAGCATCGTCCCACTGCAATTATTCTCCATGATTATTGAGGTTGATTTGAATTAGCTTTTTTTCGATTTATGTAGAGGGATAATATGTTCGACAGGGGGTAGGGAGTTACCCACTCATGGTTTTCCGTTCGATTAAGGCGAGCTGGCCATGAATCTTACTGGCCAGTCTTTGACTTCACTGGCTCAACTAACTGGTATCGGGCTTGTCCTGAAGGAAAGGGGGAATAATATTCTCGGCCCAACTTTCGGTGAAATAGCCCTACTACTCACTGAAGGCAAAATATGTACATAGTTAAATTCCTTTCAACACCAAACAAAACGAGCGAATGGCATTGATCACGGTTACTTCCCAGATTCATCGTAATTGTTCATGAATTATCTTATTTTAGATGAAATATTCAAAAACTGGTTTACCTTACAATTTAATATTTGAAATTATGAAGGTCGGAAAAATATGAAATTAATGGAGATTGGAAAAATCAAAACCGGTTAGTAAAACATACGATTGCTCCTAGCACTCCGTTACCGTTGACTTTTAATCGGAGTACTTCTTTGATGTCGCAGTCATAGTTGGAGAAGAGCATGGCGCAACATCTTGGGCAGAGATCGAGCAGATGAGGATCGCAGCTACTTGACGATGACCTCGTCCATTCCACTAGTACAACTAGTAGGATAGCAGCAATAGGTGGCCACATCTGCAGGACAACGGCAAGTACTGCTCATTTGAGAAGCTGCAAGGCAGAGACGAGTATCTAATCACTACGAAACATCTACACAAACATTTTCTGGAGCGATATGTGTCACCACTATGGAGCTAAGGAGAAAAATGAATATTTTGTCTCATTTCCCCGTTGATGGCGTAATTATTTCAGGAATAAATCGATATGCAAAGCGACCAAGCGAAAGGAATTGTGTGGCAACAAATGCTCTAGTAGTAGAAGAGAATTGGAAAAGGTGAGCCTATCGGCCAGTGATTGATAGCGGTCGACCGAAAACAATCTATCAACATCGATCAACAGCTCATCTAGCAACAAAATACCGATGAGAACTTAGGAAACGCCCCTCCCGTTCCAGGAGAAAGTTCGATTACATAAAATTTTCAACGCTCTGAATCTTGCGAGCAAATGTGGTTCATTTCTGTTGTCGGTCGACCGATGTGACGCCAATTTTTAGATTTTCGTGATTTGAGGAGTCGATTGCACAGAGTGCGCCATGAACTCTGTTCTCATTGGAATAGAGGGCAATTGCATAGTTCCCTGCTGTGATGCTTCTTGACGTATCTTCTTCGGTAGTACACAATATATTATCTGAAGATAACAAGGACGGTCAGAATGGTGTCGAGGCAGGGGATGTCTTTTTTTCACGCAATAATTAACCTGGTGTCAAATCATAGGCCTCTATACATTCGACGATAAGCCGAAGAAGGCTCGATCGCTTAGGACTTGATTGCTGGTACCGAACTCTTTTGAAATGTTCATCGCCTGAGCTCAGAAATCGATTTATATGCTCGATATTCGTTTGGTATGATTGTAAAGCGGAGTGAAAGGCATGGCGCAACCCGGGAAAAAAGAAATAGTCGCGTACGCTTCCAAGAATAACATGGATTGTTATACGTACCAGCAGAAAGCCCTTCCAGGGATAGCGCTGTAGCTAAAGGATGAAACCGGAAAAGCAATAACCTTGAGAGAAATTGAAAAGAAAGGAACACTCCCCCCATCTTCAATCGCCATATCATTCGAATGCGCCATGCGTTCGATTTTCATTATAGATAAGATTAGGTAAGGAGTTTGGGCCCCAAAAAAAAGGTGTTCGGGTCAGTGTTCAACGTGCAACTTTCTGCAAGATTTTTCACTACATACCCTACATGGATAGGGCCAGGGAGATTCGATCCTGCAGCCAAAGTGTTGCTTCGACCCATAGCTCATTTTTAACCAAATAACTAACGACTGTAATTGTATAAATAAGTTTTATTAGAATAAAGAAGGCATAAATTCTTTATGTGTCTTCTTGAGGCCGAAGTTGCGAGTAATCGCCATTTGCTTCCAAGGTCAGTGGATTGTTGAATTGAAGCTGAAGCTCATCAGCTTCCTCGGTATCGTTACCCATCAGTCGAATCACAAGCAACGCAGTTGCAAAGTGACCTTAATGAAGATTCTGAAGAAGGAAGGGAAACTCTGAAATTTTGGCTTGGAACCTACTTGTTAAGGAGACAAAATCGGCAATTTGATGCACTTTCCAAGCAAAGGACAAGTCGTCACCGGTTCCACGGTAATCGAGTTGACTGAGAATTTCAACGAATCGTACCACCGACAAGATGAGTAACGACGTTTGACTGAGCGGATGTATGCTCAACTTTTCGGAACACAGAATCTGAATTTGCATTTCGTTACAGTGAATTTACTCGATAAGAGGAAACAAATGAAACTCTTCAAGCTCGGGTGGATCGTTTCCGGGAGTGGGAACGAGGGCGCAGGGAACAGCTGGTTCCACAATTCTACTTTTATGCTCTATAGGGCTGGGATCGGATATGGCACTCAATTGGCAATGGGCCAGCCACGCATTATAATATACATCGATTGATCATTATTTCGATTCCATATATCGATTTAACTGATCTGATCAACTTCCCAAATCAGAGCAGAATATGGAGAGAGGCAAGGGGGTGGGCAAAATCCGCTCACATCGTGCGGCAATTTTTGGCTAGTTGGCTCGCGCGCGACATGCCGCACGGAACAGTTGCCTGCCGCAATCAAACGAAGTCGGTGGCGGCGCAATTGAACTCCTGCTAAGAAGATTCACTCTTCTCTCTCTTCGGAATTCTATGCCCACCCTTTCATCCTTGTGTGGGAAGCTACCAGAGGTTTCGTTGTTATCCACCACTTTTCACTTCCCGAGCTCCCTCTTGAGTCACATGGGTGGTGGTACCTTACCTGGTAAAGTGGAAAGACTATGAGTCCGATGGCTAAGGCCATATGATAAAGCGCCATGTAGACGACAACCATCGGATGAAGATCGGTCGATGTTCGGAAGAAAGCGACAGCCTGTACCAACACAGCCAGCCCACACAGAGCCATTAGTACGCCGAGCCACTGAAGCAACGCCTTCCTTTAGGGTTCTCGCAGGCAAAACGGCTAGACTCACCCTGATAGGGGATTCAAGCCTTCGATTACCAGTAGCCTCAGTCTTGGCCATGGTTGTTATCCGTATTGAACAGCCGCATAGAATACTAGAGAGAATCAGTACGAAGAAATCCAGTAATACCTGGACGAAGTGAATAGCAGCCTCTGAAGAAATGTAGTAGAATGCAAAAAAAANAAAAAAAAGTAAAAAAGTAAAAAACTGTGGCTTCGGGATCTACCTGTCTTGGTGACCTCCAAGAAGCAGCGACCGAGCCCGGGAAAGAACAACTCGCAAAGCTGATCACCGAAATAGCCATTCCATGAGAGATACATGTATGAGATCAGTTGGAAGATCGTCGAATTCAGTGAATACAAAGAGAGAATAAGACTAAAAAGTAAATATAATTGTAATAATAATAATAGCAATAATAATAATAATGGTAATAACAATACTAACAGTAATAATTATAACAATAATAACAACATTAATAAGCTATACTATGCAATAACGATAACCGACTTTCAAAAAACACCTCACAGGTTTATGTTTGCATTTTTACCCTTTTTTCTGTCAATTTCATTCTTATGATGAAGACTTCTGCCTTCCAGGGTAAGAACACCTCTGCACTTATGAAATAAACAAATAAATAAATAAGTAACAAGTAGAAGGTATAGGAATAAAAGTAGAAAGTGTAGTAAGTTGAGAAGAATTACATTCAAAGCAGTGGTAACAATATCAATGATTCGGGTCTGGTGAGGCTTTTGATTGGAGCCTGTTATTTGTTCGTTTATTTATTTATTTATTTATTGATAGCAATCATAACAAAGGCGATAATTTGTAATGATTGTGATTTTGACAAAAGAATGCCATTTAAAAGTAACGACCAACAGTCTTCGAAGCAACTATTGAAGTACATTTGTTTTTATATAAATTATATATAGTAAGGATTGTGGATACTTGTAATAATTATGTAGTAAATGCAAAATGTTTTCATTAATCTCTTTTTCGACACCTCACTCAGGGGCAGGAACAAGCTGAGGCTTTCGGGTAACGGAAAATTCTCAAATTTGCCATAATCGGGTCCTCTTCAGAGCGGAAATGGAGGTGGAATTATTTCGAATCTCCCGAAAATTATGAAGCAATACATTTACAGTAGATTTCAAATTGAAATATTTGAAGATAATAATTATGGAGTCAGGTAAAAAGCTATAATTTTACCATGCAGGAAGAGCGATAGGAGCAAATTTTGATCCTGAAGCAGCTAGGGTGAAGATGGCGGTGAGGGCGGTGAGGAACGGGGTTTTCTGTTCGGCTCCATGGAAAAGCCTGCAAAACTTTTGTATGGGAATTCGTGGGAGGTCAATATCGTTCAGGTGGGCATACCTGTAGAATAGCTTTTTCCATATAGTATATATATCAAGAGATATAGTACTACAAGAAAGTACTAGAAACATGGCTGCTACAATTATCAGAAAACGCTTCGTTTTTTCATCCAACGTTATTCTTCGGCTTGCTGAGTGCTAAAAAGTGGCCATACTTAGGAAACATTCTAAGGCAACAAACGGGAAGTATAAACGGTTTCGTTACGGTACCATTGAGAGTAGCTGTATCAGAGTTGCCGTCACAACACCGACATTACAGAGAGATATCGCCACTCCAGCTGCTTGCCAGTAAGCCGACGAGGTCGATACGAGTCCAAATGAAAGCCTTGACGATGCCCACCACCTGAAAACTCGGTCTATAATCTCTTCCCGGTTACCATCAGGTAATTTCAAATCTTTCATCGGACTGCGATCGATTGGATCGATATTAGTCCAGATTCCATAATTTAGTAAAATCAATAGCAGAGTCTATTGAGGTTTGTTCAAAAATGGAATTATCCTGAGCCCTGCTGTGAAAGTCACGAATTACATAGTTTCTTAATTAAAGGGTAGCTTAAGTATGTGTAGGCGTTTGTATCCGGTGGGCGGGGCAGTCTGGGATGGAGCAGCGCAGTGAAAGACTAGCTCAAAATGATCGTAGCTCATTGAAGCGGATTTTACGACTCGAGCTAAGGAACTGTGATAAAGGGGTGTAGTAAAGGACAAAGGATAAAGTCTTGGCGTTAATCAATCCCGTCTGAGGGATGAGCCCCACATTCGACTCCCATTCAGAATCGCAGTGGCGTATTGAGTGCATATGTGGCCTATACAATGACTGCGATGGCCAGGCGATATACACGACAGTGCTCTTATCCTCCCAGAAGAGTCTGGTATCAATTATCTGACCCAGGAGAGATGGTAGGCTTGGCTGGCCTAGGCGGATTTCGAGCCGGGATTTGAGGCCTTATACCATCAGTAACTCTTCATGTAGGGATTGGGTATTTTGGTCAATAGCAAAGGCAAAGTAAAACGAGTAGAAGTGGACCGGTATCAAAAGGTACAGATTGTTACTGCTCCAGTTTTGCTCGCCTAGAACAAAGTAAACGAACTAGGCGAATCAAAAATGTACCTGTAGTCCAGCCAAAGGTAGAACACCGACGGCATCAGGGTGGAAGCAGCCAAGGCCAGGGTGAGAGCTCGTAGAAGTTTGCTACCTCTTGAAGATATAACGCAGAGTACACCTAAAATTAAAAGGGGGTCTGAGAGAGCAACTTCTCTCCCTGACGGTACTGGAGAAATCGTTCGAGCTTTCGACATACCGGCAGTCTCTCATTAGCTATGATGTACCTACATATGCCCTTATCAGTTTGCAGTGAAAGCCCTCTGGGAGCAAAAGAGGGAAAACTCTGGAATGTGAAGCTCCATTCGGTTGGGAACCCAATAACACCACTCTCTTATCTTGGTTGATGTGTATGAAAATTGAATTACCCGAGGATTTGTCTTTCTGAGCGCAACTGAAAGGTATGGTAATGATCTAGCCCTCTTCCATCCCCACAGAATGGGTTTTCAGAGGGTCTAAAGCTTGAAATAAGAGAGATCAAGAGGTCATAGCCCATCGTTCGATAACCGGAACCATTACGTCCTTGGATGTAACCTCGACATTAACGTAACTGCCACTAAATATACTCGAGGATTACCTAAAGCCAACTGTGTACAAATCCATGCTGGTTCATCGAGTGTATAGTTAGCGAATAGGGCACGAAGTCGATCCTGTCCAGCCAGTTTGAAAAATTCGCAAAAATAACAAGCGAACCGTATCACGCCGAGCATGACCAAGGCAGTTCCCATTCCAAGCAGCTTCACCGAAGGGGTCTGAAATCAAGTCATTCACCCAGTAGGCCGGTGACAACTCCAAGAATAAGAAGTAGAACCAGTAATTAAAATAAATGGCATCATACCTGATGATATAAATGGGCAGATGAAAAGAAATGCTGATAAATGATATATGAAGAAAGTAGCACTGCCGTTACACAAAGTATCGCATCCAAACTGCTATAGAGTTGTAGATGTGAGATCTGAAAATCGCATTATGTAGGAGGAGGTCCTGACAAGATTGGCGGCCGTAAGGTTGAGATGTTTTCGGGTACTTTATGATTCTCATTTCTCAACAAACTCTTCAAATCCCTTCTGATTTCCTTGGAGCATTGCCATGCATAAGCATTTTTACAACTCCAAGAATACCAAAAAGTTCTCAGATTCCTTCGAACTACTTTCAACTAATTTTGTTTTGTAGACCTTCAAATTTGAGTTCTGCCCGGCATCTTCTCACAGGGCCTGGCCTTACGCTGATCACGAAGTCAGTCCGAACCATTCCCCACATGATTCAATGGCTAATTTTCCACGGTGTGGGCGGAGCTAGAATTGCAGCAGAAGGGTCACTATTGCATAATAGGGTTTAGGGGAGGAGAGCGTCAAAGGTAGTAATGGGAGGAATTCATATACTTCATGAGTTTT